CACCTGTATCTATTAATAAAGTTGCTGATAATTTTTGGAAACTTGGAGAATTAATTACTATCAATGGAGATTCTCTGGAGTTTCTAGCATGGAAGATGTTTCTTGTAATGATAGGATTCTCGCGTTTGCTGGACGCTCTTTGAAATCTCCGCTCGTCGTCGCGTCTGTTCGTCGAGTCGTGTTCGAGTTTAAATTACTCCTTTCGAAGGAATGTGGTGACTGAGCACGAGGTGGTGTTCTATTCCCATCCTGTGGTTTGCTAAAATACGCTTCTTGTGGAGGTGGATATGGGTAAAAAGGATAAGAATTATATGGCATATAAACATTAGGAAGAAACAAGTTTGGATGATTAGGATATTGTGGTGGAAAGTTGTTATTTGGCATGTATGATGGATATGGGTTTCTTAGTATACCAGTAGGAGTAGGTGATTGAGAACGATATCTTGTTTGTTCATAAGGATATGAAAACTGTACTCTATTACCAGGGCTTCTTTCTCGGTATCTGTAATCTTGTGGTTGATATCTTGAATAATAATAAGCATTATGATCAGGTCTATGACATTCGTGACGCTGTTCGAATTGTAGTGCGATTTCAAAAGCATCTTTAAGTATTGCGGGATTTCTTGCTTCTATTATAGTGGCCATAGTGTCTGGGAGTCCTTTTATAAAGGCTTCCAAAGCACAGTAATTTAGGGGTTCCATTTGGGTTTTAGCATTAGGTGCTCCGTAGGAACCAGCAAGTGTTGCGTTTGCGCCTGCTAATAATTGGGATAATCTATCATAAAACTCACTAACATTTTCATTTCGGTGCATACGAATTGTGGATATTTCTTGCAAATACCATGCATATGATTTATGGGTAGAGAATCTTTGTTTTAGATGCTCTATCAATTGATTAATCGTTCCAAAATACTTACCATGAGTACTTTTTCTAGCAGCACCCTTTAATTTGGCAAGAACAGATTTTAAATACTGATCTTCACAATGTTTTGGAACAGTAGATTCAGCATTAATAATATCTTCAATGAAATCGTTTACTGGCATATTATGCCCATCATAAAAAGGAATATTCATTATGCCCTGTTGTAACGCAAAACATTCAGCCATAGAATTTACCATCGTATCATGAAGGGATCTATTCATGGAAGTTGTGAAAGTTCCGCTATTGGTTCCGGAAGCATTATTTTCATCGTCTTCCACTATATCTTTCTGACGTCTATTTTTATTACGAGTCATTGTTAATTTACAATAATTCGTTAATAATATCAAAAGAAAAAGGAAGTCCTAAAACTCCAATTATATCTGACTTATTGTCAAAATATATTGTTTGGAATTCTATTACTGAATAGTTAATGCAAACTTTTGCTTCTCCGTATGTTCGTACGGTACCGTCTCTCAGAAAGTACTTTAACATACGGTCTATTCCTAAAAACGGATTAAGCTCGTTTTCTTTAATAATGTTTATAGGTAACGAGGGATCCAATATGAATAGACCCTCGTTATGAATAAAGAATGAAGATCTTAGTGATAATTGTGGATATAATTCTTTATGTTTTAACAAAAACTGAAAATATGAGTTCATTAATTTATTATACAAACATCTATTTTCACTAGTAATTCAGTGTGAGTGTGAAACAAGCTTTACCTTTAAGGCCTTTATGTCTGACTTATACTTGATTAGTACTACTGTAAGCTTGCCGCGCGCGAGAGCCGTAAGTGATATATATCAATGTTATGGAAATTTTATTACTACCTCTTGTAATGTTATGATTTTCTAATCTTTTTCTGAATTGAGATTTGGTTAAATCAATATATTTGTCAAATTATTGGGTTTTAAATTTTGGGTTATATACCAAATCTTTAGCCACCAAATTATTGAAAACAATGTCACAAAAAAAAGAGTTAATAATAGTATTAGACAATACATTTAATGAGACTGTTATTAATTAGAATTTAAATTCTCTAGGATCTGTTTTAAGAAAAGGTAATCCTAATATACCTGTTAATTCAGGTTGACTTGGATTGATGAAAGTTCTGAATTTAACTGCTTTATTCGCAATTATTATTTTTGTGGTTCCGGAAGTAATAAATGATCCTAGATTGAATATATGTTTCTTTGATCTATTTATTTTTGTATCTGGGGTTAATTTTTCTTCGTTTATTAAATTAATATCCAAAGAAGGATTAATTAGGAAGAGTCCTCTATTATCTTTTAAATTCTTAGAGGATATATAAATGTTAGGATAAATTTCTAAATTGAATGAAACATTGTTTACGTGTTCACTCATGAGGAAATCCTAGGAATATTAGAAGAATCTCCTAAATAAATTATTTCGAAAGAAATTAGCTACTCGACGTCTTAATCGTGTTTGAATTGATATTTCTCGTCTCCAAATTTCTCTTTCGTAAATGATTGCAATTCTTTCGAAATATCTAGTTTCAAAAATTTGATCAAGAAATGGTGCTCCTAATATACCGATAATTTCTGAATCAACTTGAGAGGCGTCGACTTCAAATCTCAAAGAAAAATCGCTAAATTCTATTATTGTGCTCCCAATAGTACGAATTGCACCTTGTCGAGATATAATTGAATTGTCGTGTTCTATTGAAACGAATGATGCTATTGCTGATTGTTGAATTAAATTTATCGATAGAGTGTGATCTATTAAAAAGTTACCTCTATGTGAATTAAAGTGACCCGATATTAATTCGACGTAGGGATAATTGTGTTGATTGTAGTCAAGATTTGCAAAATAATTACTCATTAATGTTTTATTAAAATTATTTATTAATAATTTGCTCAGTTTTATTTAACAGGTTTTCGAAGAAGTTGGAAAATTCTTCTTGAGTTTTAATTTCTTTAATTATATTTTTCAAATCAAAGTTTTCTACAAATTTTTTTTAGATTCTAATGAAGTTTCGATATTAAATCTTCTTTGTGCTTTTATTCCTCCTCGATTTTTAATTTTCTTTGATGTTGGAATTTTATCACACATTATTTTTTAATTGCAAAAAGGCATTTTGTGATTTTAAAATTTTGATAAAATTTATCTATTAAGATTTTTAAATATTCAAAAACAACTTATAATTATGGAGGAATATTTGTGAATTATTAAGGAATAAGATAAAATGACAGGTTCGCCGGACGGCGCAAACTATCGTTTGATCAATTAAAATTCGCCGGACGGCGTAATAATAATATCACAATTTATCTTAATTAGAAAAATGAATTCTTTGCTTGAACGGTTCCGCCGAACGGCGCGAACTATTCTTAATTCAAGCTGAAACTCGCCGGACGGCGCAAAAACAGCTTAAATTACAGGGTTTTGTAAGATTTTAATAAAATTGTTTTTAAATTATAACTGAGGAATGTTGTTAGAGTGTCAGTTTAATTTTTCTATATTCTAAGTGTTGTGAGTGTTTAACTTGCACCTTAAGAAGGAAAGAATAGTGTTTCGCTAGCAGAAACTAACAATTCTAAGTGTTAAAACTGACAACTTGCACAATAACCGAGTACAACGCGAACTGAATTGCCGGTTAGAGAAAGAATAATTTGAACTATTAATTAACACTCTTAATAATCTGTAAGATTTTAATATAATATTTTATAATGGGAATTATTATAATTGTCTAACAAAAGTGACGAATCCCACCGCTGCCACCAAATCAGCTGTTACATCCCGAGCAGAAGGCAATTTTATAGGTTAGGTTATAGAATTTTGGAGGAATGGTAGGCTGATTATGGTCAAGTTGGTAAAGCTTGACCTTTATTTTTAAGTAGGATCGTTTGTACTTGTCAAAACTACGGGTTTTGCGTTAACAACAAATAATAATATTCCCTTTTAACAATGTTTATTAAATATTCAAATAATGTTTACAAATAGTTACATAAATGTTACTTACTTTTATTACAGATTAGTCGTAGGATACAGGTTATAGCGCTGGTCGGTATAAGTTTGGTTTCAAGATGTTATTTCAATTGAATGAAACTAAGAAAGTTTGTTATGTTACACTTATGTAACTTTCACAACTTTAGGGTTTTTGCGTTTGTTTCAAGAGCTAGTACTGCTTCTAAGTGTTACTTATCGTCACTTGCACCTATTACGGAAAGAAACTTGTTTCTAAGTGTGAGAAAAGCAACTTGCACAATAATCGAGTACAACGCGGACTGAATTGCCGATTAAAGAAAGAATTAGTGAAAAGCTACAATTAATGAAACTTGACACGCAAAATACGACAGTTAATACATTTAAAATTATTGATTCTAAGTGTCAATTTGCTCTTCTTGCACCTTTTACGGAAAGAAACTTGTTTCTAAGTGAATAACAAAATAGACTTGCACGATAATCGAGTACAACGCGGACTGAATTGCCGATTAAAGAAAGAATACAATAAATTTTATTTAACTGAAGGGTCGCTCTACAATGACTATTGGTCTATAAAACCGCACCGGAACATTTGACAAGCTTAGTGGAGAAAGCTTTGGCTTATATACTCTAAAAATGACAAAAAGTGGGAAAATTCGTAGTTAGTTATGGGGGTAAAGTATGTTATCTACTAGGAATTTAGGACTGTTCGTCTTAATTCTATTTATAAGTTGTTTTGAAGAAGGAGCGCACATTCCTTCATAAGTGACCTAATAATTATGCCATATATGGAAAGTGAAGATCAAATTACATGCTGTTGTCTAGGAGTAACATCTCGCGATAACGATACTACAAGCCCGAGCTTGCGTCGCTCGTCCTTGGCATGGCGCATCGCTTTTCACCTACTTTCATCTATAACATTCCTACGTTGCTTGCTTATCGCGCTTCTTGAGGCTTGCAAAATTTCATGTTTTAACAGCAACAAGAATTGTTCAGATTTCTCTTAAGTTACTGATATTGTTGTTATTACATCTATAGATTATTATATATTTAGTCTTGAATTAAAATACACAATATTTGTGTTTTATGTCTTAATTAATTTTTACTTAATTTGGAAAAATTAAAATTATGCAGAAATAAGGATGTTACTGGGATGTAACAGAGTACAGGTTCCACCAAGGAAATTTGTGCAATCAGCTACCGAATATTCTACTGATGACGATTTGGTGCCAAAGTCAAATTTGAAGTCAACAAGAAATCAGAAGGTACATACTATCTAACAAAAATAAAATAAAAATTCTTATATTATTTATATACATTAGAAAATGTTTAACTAATAATATTTAATCATTCTTACAGAGTACCAAAGGTATCAAATCAGTTGAAGACATACAATTTCATCTGGCGAAGAGATTAATTGAATTGGAAATTCCTTCCCACAATGTAGAAGGGACTCAGTTATCGGAGGTATTAAAAGCAAAGTTTTATTAAAATTTTAGTTTTTAATTGTCGTGGAAAAATAAATATTTATTTAACAAAAATTATTCAAGATAAAATATTAGTGTTCTAAAATATTTTAATTATATTTTTTAAAACTAATTTAATACTTTAATTGTGAAAATGTAAAAAAATCGTCTTGGAAAATTGTGATTTAAATATTTTTGAAGACTAAATTTTTTCATAATTTCTAAATTATGTAAACTTAAAATTTTTCAAAAATATTAAATTAAATTATTAATTATTGGGAATTTTTTTATGTCTAATTGATATAGATATTTCTTGGGAATTTCAAGTATAATAGCCATATAAGTTGTCTGAAAAATATTAAACTCAATTTTTAATTTTTTTCATTCTACATATTATTTTAAATTATTAAATTTTAGATAAGTATAAAAACTTGAAGTTATTACCAAAATTAGAATAAAGTGAAGATTTTTTAAGAAAATTTGGAGAAAATCTGGGAAATACTAATTCAAAATTTTTGTGAATCTACTAAAATGAGTTTCTTTAGTCGTAAAATTTTGATTTTCCAATAGAAAAAGAAGTTAACTCCAGTCACAAGTGAAAAAACTGTAGGGGAGAGTGGGGCAAAATGGGGTACCTTTTTGAAATTGGCTGTTTACAGAGAACCAAACGAATAAATCGATTCAGCTAAACTTCAGAATTCTTCTTTGTACACTTAGCTTTGAGGAAATTATGATTATAGCGGAGAAAAAAATTTTTGAAAGAACTTATATCGTATTTTCTAAGAAAGTGCTAAAATCCCATTTTGCCCCACCCGTGGGGCAAAATAGGGTGGCATCAAATAACTATACAAAACATTGAGTATTTTTTCAAAATTCATTCAATTCTTGTTGTATGAGATTATAAATACAAACAAAAAGTAGGATTCTTTATTACTATGAAAAAACAAGTAATATTTATTAGAATTTAACAAAAAAAACATGGATATTTCAAAATATCGATATATCGATAATGAAACATCGATAGTATAAATGCCTCGAAGCAAAAATATCGATTCTTCTGCAGGAAACCTTTAAATATGCATAATATAATGTTTTTAAATAGTTTTAATGAAACGGCGTAACTTCCGGCATGCCCCACACTTAGGTACCCCATTCTGCCCCACACTGCATATTAAAACAAAATGCAATGTTTGGGGTGGCATCAAATAACTATACAAAACATTGAGTATTTTTTCAAAATTCATTCAATTCTTGTTGTATGAGATTATAAATACAAACAAAAAGTAGGATTCTTTATTACTATGAAAAAACAAGTAATATTTATTAGAATTTAACAAAAAAAACATGGATATTTCAAAATATCGATATATCGATAATGAAACATCGATAGTATAAATGCCTCGAAGCAAAAATATCGATTCTTCTGCAGGAAACCTTTAAATATGCATAATATAATGTTTTTAAATAGTTTTAATGAAACGGCGTAACTTCCGGCATGCCCCACACTTAGGTACCCCATTCTGCCCCACACTGCATATTAAAACAAAATGCAATGTTTACAAGTTATTGTAAACAATTAAACAATCTATTCTATTGGAAATTACTCTAGAATAAGTACTGAAAAAGATCCCACACTTGCCAAATTAAATGCATTATCCCAAAAAGTTTGGAGAGCACTTTAATTTTGAAAAAAATTCATATTTTTTTTGCTTAAAACTTAAAAGTTGTATAACTTTCAAAAAAAAAATTTCTTTGGAGTGTCTTCATAATTAATAACAGTTTCTTATCAACATGAATGATATATGTCGAGGGAAAAAAAATTAAAAGTACCTATCATGGAAAAACAGAGGTACCCCATTTGACCCGCCTACCCCATTTTGCCCCACTCTCCCCTAGTAACAGAAACATTACCGGAAAATGTAAAAACGAAGGAGCCTACCGAAAACAATAATGTCAAACCATCGAAGAAAATATCAAGAAGTATTGAGTTTGATAAGGAAAACTATCAGACAGAAGTAAGTAATTTTTTTAGTTCATTACTTAGAAATTTTTAAAGTTTATAACGAAGATTATATTCATTTTTAAAAATTATTCATAGAATAATGAGAAACATCAAAACAAAGTAGTGGATCATACAACTCCTACCGAAAACAATTGTGACAAACCATCTAAGAAAAGATCAAGAAGTATTGAGGTTAATCTGGGAAACAATCAGTCGGAAGTAAGTAATTTTTTAATTTATCGCTTAGATATTGTAAAAAGTTAATAATAAAGATTATTTACACTTTAAAAAATTATTCATAGAATAATGAGAAACCTCAGAACGAAGTAGTGGATCACACAACTCCTACCCAAAGTAATCATGTCGGACTGTCGAGGAAAAGATCTAAAAGTATTGAGGTCAATCTGGGAAACAATCAGACAGAAGTAAGTAATTTTTTTAATTTATCGCTTAGATATTGTAAAAAGTTAATAATAAAGATTATTTGCATTTTAAAAAATTATTCATAGAATATTGAGAAACCTCAGAACGAAGTAGTGGATCACACAACTCCTACCCAAAGTAATCATGTCGGACTGTCGAGGAAAAGATCAAAAAGTATTGATTACAATGAGGTACACAATCAGACAGAAGTAAGCAATTTTTTTAGTTTATGGCTTAGATATTGTGAAAGTTAATAATAAAGATTATTTGCATTTCAAAAATTATTTATAGAATAATGAAAGACAACCAAAAGAGCAGAACAAATTAGTTGATCATATTATTTCAACTATAGAAAAGAATAAGACCCCAGAATTAATTGTAAATGTCCAGCAACCAGCGAAAAGCAAAAGATTAATCGATCCTGCCAATGGAGGAAATTCTGTCGAAAAAACAACAGTGGGTAATAATAGTTATTTTTATTTTTTTATTAATAAATATGTAACACGTTATATATGTATTAGCAATCTTGCAAACATAGACATTTAAATTGAAAAAAATCAAGTGCTTTCCAAACTTGTTATAAAAATATAAAAACTTTACAAAATTGAATTTAATGAATTAAATATTTATATTTATACATTTTTCTAGATAAAATTCGACTTAAATAATGAAAACCTTTTCAATTTAAACAAATTTGGAATAATAATCATAAATTGAATTGTTTTTATAAAAAGTTATGATAAGTAAATATACTTTATGTCAAAAACTGTATTAAGAATCTCAAAATCACACATTTCAACAAACAAAAAATTGATAAGTTCAAACATTTGCGATTTGAACTTTTGTGTAGAATAGTATCTCAACTTTTTCTTCTATTTACTTTGTTTAACAGATAAAATAAATACAATAGGAACGTTAAGTGACATTGTTGGAAATTACAAAGAGGAGTATCGAAATTTTAATGCAAAACTTAAGTCATTGAACCAAAAAATTCAATCAATTAATGATGCTAAACTTGAGGTGGAAAACAAACTTAATGATAAAGAAATGGAACTTCGTCGAGTGCAAGCTGCAATTTTAGAATTGAGAGAATTGAACGAAAGTCTTCAATACAAAGTCATTCAAAAAATGGATACCGTTAACGGTAAGATGTTTAAGATTTCTTTATCACTAACAAAATATAATCGGGTTTGCAAGATTTTCTATTAATAATTACAAATTAACCTACTTTGTAATACAGAAGTTCTTAAACAACACTGTAAGGCTATGCAAATTCAAGAAGAATCAATGGAATTACCTGTCGGAACATACAGTTCCAACAGAATGGAAGTGAGTAATGTTAATTAATTGATATACACCCCAGACTTCGAAATCATCCATTAAAACCTACCATTTACTACTATTTTTAAGATTAGATACCATTTGAATACGTTTCTTTTAGATTTGTGACACTAAGAGATCCTTTTTTCTTTTTTTTTAGAATTTACACAACTTTAAATTCATTAAAAATTGAAGTAATAACATTAATAATTTTTTAATAAAATTCTTCACAATCTTTAATAATATTCAATTATTTTCATGAATTATTAAATTTTTCAAAAATTCTACAATTTAGAAAATTGTTTACAAAATTATTTGAAACAAATTAATTATTTTTCATTATTTTCGAAATTTTTTATGCAGAATTTAATTTTAAGAAAATAATAAATTGTTCAATACATTATTTCTTTGCATTTGAATAAGTTAATCCTCTTAGTGTTTTCTGCACAAGAATTTTTTAAAAAATGAATTTTAAATAAAACTTTAAGTAATATTGAAATATGTATTAGAACTGTTATAGTGTGAATTTTTAGATATTGAATTTGAAAATAGGTTTTACATTGAAATTATTTAAATTTTGAATAATTTACTTTAGAAAATAGTTTTTACGTTTCATAGGATTTCATTTTTTACATTCAAAATTTATTTTGAAATATTATCGTATTCTTGAAAATTCTAACTAAAAACTTGGAAAATAACTGCATTTTAGAGAATTTTTGAATTGATGTTATTACGAGGATAAGAAAAAAAAATAATTTTTTATGAAAATTGGGAAAAAGTTAGGGAATTTCTGAATAAAAATTTTGGAGAAACAATTATTTTTTAATCGTCAAACTTTAATAGTTAACTACTTTTTCCAGTCATAAAGCTATTTTTTTAAAAATAAATTATTAAGTCTGAGACGTGTACACTTACCTAAAACTGATAACATGGAAATATATTAAATAACATACCTATTTGTTCTACAGATGCATATGGGAAGGGGCCACTGGATTACTACTGAAACATATGCTGAAATAATTACCAAGGGAAAATCATTTCCACATATCGTGAGACTAATTTCTTTGCATATGTTTGGAATAGAGATATTAAAAAGCAGTACAGTGACTGGTTCCAATAGTAATCGTTCTAAAAAAGGAGTTAAGAAACCCATTACAATTTTAAATTCAGAGAAACTTCTCGCGATAAGAGGTACGTAATAACAAATAAGTGTAAATTTACTTTTTCTCTTACAATAAATTAATTTTTTTTTTGTAACTCAAAAAATTTTGAATTTAACAATAAATATAAAATTT